GTGGGGTGTGCAGGGAAGGGTGGGGAGATTGCAGAGGATGGGGATGTTGACGTGTGCCCCCTCAACACTTTTTCTCTCCAGCAGCAGACGGAAGAAGCTGTTTGTGCTGAATGTCTCACAGTGGGCTGGTTCTGTCCTGAGAGGTCTCACATCTGAGGGTAACATATTTCGGTGGGGATTTCGTCCTGCTGGTGACACATCCCAGAGGGGGAAATCATCTTCTGGGCAATGGTGGTTATGGGCAGGACACCTGGGCACATTTAATGAGGAAGTCCCTGTCCAAGGTGGGCCACATCCCGGTGACCCCTGTCCCAGGGTGGGGGGCCCTGCCAACTCCCTCTGTCCTCTCTGGGGCACTGTGAGCTCTGGGTGCCCCAATTTTTGGTATGACCCGCCTGCTCTGCACCCCCTCATTGACTGCCCCCGCCCATTTGGGGGACCTCAATCCCCATTTGGGAGCCCTCATAGGGGGTCTCAGCCTCATTCCCCAGTCCACCAACATAACTCTGTGGGTGAGAGAACCCAACGGGACTGACTGGGCTGGGGGGGTGGGCAACATGAGCTGGTGTCAGTCAAGGAAGGCACAGACACCCCAAAACACCCAAAGCCCACCCCCACACCACAAATCCCTGCAAGGCATCAGTGCTGGGAACCAGGAGATGGTTGAGACCCTCTATATGAAACATTTGTGAAACTGTTGGGGGCTGCCCCCTCCCTCTCCTGCTTCCCATAATCCTCTTCATGGGGTTTCTTTCCTGAGGGGTTGAGGCATTTTGGGTTTATTGGGTTTTGGGAGAAATCCTGTTCCACACTTCTCCATTCTTGCTCATTCTCTGTAGGATCTGAGCTGGCAAGAGCAGCTGTGGAATGGAGTCCCGGGCAGGAAGGAGCTCCCAACATCCTCCTCCTTGAAGACAGTGGCCATCAAAGTGTGGGCCCAGCCATGGCCCAGCCCCACTGCACAGCAATTGGCCAGCCCTGCTCTGGCCAGCCCCAGCTGGCAGCCAGGACCTGAGGGTCCTCCCCGCCCCCTTGACTTTGATTCTGGCAGTTATAGAGCTGCTGCAGAGGTGAGAATTCTGTGGGGGAAAAAGGCCTGCCTGTGGTTTGCTCAGCACTGCAAGAAGCACAAAACCCAAAGGGAGCCCAAGCAGTGGCTCTGTGAGGGCCTTTGATGGTTTTCAGAGCAGGCCTGGCTGGAAACCCCCTCTGCAGGGGCAGCTGTGAGGGAACCAGTCAGGAAATGCAGCAATTGATCATTTTGTCCCTCTCACCAATGCACTTAGAGAGCCCCTGTACTACTGCAAATCCCACAACAATGTGCTCAGCCACCTGGCTGGGTTCCTCCTTCTTGAGCAACACCTGCAGCTTTCTGGAACATCATGGAAAGAATGTTTGACTTCTGGCTGTGGTCGTGAAACAAGAGAAAAACTGGAAATACTGAGCAGTGGCTGTGTCCCACGGCTGTGGTTGACCCTGTCTGGATTCCAGGTGTCTCCAAAGCTGCCCCATCCCTGCCCTCCTCACCTGCACAGGGCACAGGGGATAGACAGGGCTCTGCCCCGTCCCTTCCATGGTACCCCTTCACTTCCCGGAGCTGTGGGGGCCTTACGCTGGCAATGCTTGGTCCAACACATCGTAACAGTGACTTCGGACATGCTACCGCAGTCGGCTCAGACACCCCATGACCATCCCGGCACTTGCAGCGAGATGGCAGCCGGGCCCCTTCCCGGTGCTATGGGACCACCATTGCGGTCCCTCCTTTCCGCAGACTCCACTGCAGGGTCTCTGCTCCCCTGCCATCCCAGAGGGTCTCCCCTCCACCATTTCACTCCCTCCACACTCGGGGCTCCCCAGTGGGGTCCCAGTCCCTCCATCCCAGCCCCTCCAGCTGTACCCCCCCACAGCCCCGGGGCCGGCACTGGCAGAGGCTGCTGACGTCCTGCAGGAGCAGATGTTCCTCGGGCAGTGTCGGCTGAGCGGGGCCCGGCTGCCTCATGCCGTCCTTGCCTGCGGCACTTGGGCTCCAGCAGCCCTGGGCTGATCCTTCGGGATGTGCCAACTGCTCCTGGAGCACTGCCCTTTGTCTGGAGCAAGCCCAGGAGCACCCGAATCATCCCCAAGGCTGGGGCCAGGACCTCCTGCAAGGCTGAGCCCAGGCCCTGAGGGGTTTGGGAGCCCAATGGCTGTCACTGCTGTGTCCCAAAATCTGGGAGGAGCAGGAATGGCAAGTAGTGCCCCACCATGGCCTGGCCCCGTGGGCCTCCTCTGAGCACACTGTTAAATTCCCGGTGCTGCTTCTCCACCTGCATGGCCAGGTGCTGTTCCCGTGGACCACTTGCTCCAGCCGCACTCGCCTCAGCCCCAGGATCCCAAAATCACCGGCGGAGAGGTGGCAGAGCCATGTGTTTGTGCACAGGAATGGTGCAGGGATGGAACTTTAGGAAACCTGGCCCTAATTACAATATCTCCTTAAGAGTCTGCAGCTCCCAGAGCAGAACAGGGACATTGGCCCAGCCAGCTGCAATTGTACCCCATTTTGCCCTCCCAAGGCACTGCTCCGTGTCCGGGCTGTTCCTGTGCTCCAGCTGCAGCTGCAGAGCCCTCGGGGCTGTAGCTCTGCTCTCCTCCCCCTCCTCTTCCCCCTGTGGCTGCAGTGTCAAGACCAGAAGTGGCCCAGGAAGAGCAGGAACTCCAAAGATGCTCTGGAGCCCCCTGAGGAGCCCTGGCAGAGTCAGCATCAAGCACCAGCTTTCCTTAATATCACAGGGCAATTCAACATTCCCAGAGCTGCTGTGCCAGGGCTGAAGGAGGAAAAGGGAGTGAAAGGCTGAGGGTTAGCATGAATTGTGGCATAAAGCCACCAGAGGTTCTGGTTTGGGCCTAAGACCTGCCTGGGGTCATTCTGCCTTCCTTTCATTTAGAATCAGGGAGAGTGTTCCTGGGCGTTGTGCAGGGTGTGTGCCTGGCCCTGGGATACTGCTGCGCTGCCAGTGGGCACAAGGACCCAACCTGCTGCCTGTGCAGCATTCTGCCTACTGCTGGTGGTGGTGCCCATGAGTTTGCAAAAGGAGCGATTTCCCCTCCTCCCTCCTGTCCCAGCCCGCCATGGCCCCTGAGGGGATCGAGCTCAAATGGGGCGCCCCCTGCTGGCCGGGAGCGCTCACTGCAGCTCCCCCTGCTGGCTGAGGTTATAACTGCACCAAAGATGAACAAAGAGCCCTGAGAGGGACTGAAAGTTCTGGTTTTGTGTTGTTTGTTTTGTTCTGTTTTATAAATTTCCTAGTGAAGAGCTGTTATTCCTTTTCCTACACTTTTGCCTGGAAGCCCATAATTTTTGAAATTAAAAAAAGTTTTAAAAGTGGGTCTTCTTTCCATTCCAGCAAGGTTCCTGCTTTCCTTGGCAGACATTTCTCTTCTAAACCAAGACAGTTGACAACTGGGTTCCAGCATGGAGGGGACAGACACCCCAAGACAAGACAGGGTCAGGGAATTGGCCACCTCATGCTCTGCCTTTTAAGCCAGCTGGGCCACCAAGGGCCCTCTCCCCAGGTGGCACTTCTGGTCACCCAGCCACTCAGGAGCTGGCTTTGGCAGAGCATCACACTGTCCCCAGTGTGCCATGGCTGACACACTGATGGACAGACGGGGCCTTGACTCACCAAAAGCGAGGCCTGAACCACTCTTGCCGCACACAGGTGTTCCAAAATTTCTTGAGACATCAAACTTTTCCTGTCTCTGACACCCCACCCTGTGCCATGGCCTGATCCCAACTGCTCTGTAAAATGGGGAGACTCTGGCACCCCTACAGGGCCTTTGTGACATCGTTGTGTGGGGAACACGGCAGAGGAGGGGTTCGGGACAAGGGACAAGAGAATCCAAAGCCTCCTGAAGGCCACTTTGGCCATCTGAGCAATGAAGGTCCAGGGCCCTGAAAGGTTCCTCTGGTGGAGGAAACATGCAGGGGAGAGTGTCTAGGGTTTGTTCCTTGTTGTGGCTTTCACTGGAAATCGTTCCTTCTGTGACCCTTTGGATTCTGAACCTTGTTGCTGTTGGTTTTATTCTGTCTTGTTGCTATTTCAGGAAATTGTTCTTCTCTCAGCCCTTTGGGATCTTTGTGCCTCCACGGGGAGGGGGAGTTTTTAGTGGCAACACACACACATGTGGGTGCCCATGTTCCCCCCAGTGTCACAGCACAACCTCACTGATGTCACTGGGCTCCCGTGGTCGCCTGTGGGGTCCTGGCAGCTGCATGTAGGTCACTCGGGGTTCCTGAGGGAGGCTGACAGGAGGAGGCCCTGCAAGTGACACCAGTTGCAGGGACTAAGGTGGGGGTGACACGAGTGGGTGACGTGTCACTGTCCCCCCCATCCACAGTACTCACATTGTGCCTGTTTGGTGCTCACAACGTGGGTGTACAGAACCTCCCCCTCCTCTAGGGGGGCCAGGGACTCCGAGGGGGCCCTATGGGGATAAAGAGGATGTGTGGGAGGGGATGGAGAGTTGTGGCATGGGGGAAAAAGGGGACTCATGGTTGAAGACCCACACTCACCTTTCCTGGTTCTTCCTGGCAGCTGCAAAGGAAAGAGGGGACAGTTGACTGTGGGGTCCCCAGAGCCCTGACCCCTCTCAGGATTCCTGAACCCCACATGGGACCCTCAATTTCCCTCAGGACCCCCAAGCATCCCTGAAGCCTTCCAGAATTCATGAACCTCCTAAGTGGCCAAGACCAAATCAGCTTCAAGAACCCAAAGCCCAGCAGGGACAGAGATCCCCCAAAAGCCCACAGGGTCCCTGAAAGAACCCCCAGCATCCCTGCAGGACCCTCCAGCAGTGGTCGCCTGTGGGGTCCTGGCAGCTGCATGTAGGTCACTCGGGGTTCCTGAGGGAGGCTGACAGGAGGAGGCCCTGCAAGTGACACCAGTTGCAGGGACTAAGGTGGGGGTGACACGAGTGGGTGACGTGTCACTGTCCCCCCCATCCACAGTACTCACATTGTGCCTGTTTGGTGCTCACAACGTGGGTGTACAGAACCTCCCCCTCCTCTAGGGGGGCCAGGGACTCCGAGGGGGCCCTATGGGGATAAAGAGGATGTGTGGGAGGGGATGGAGAGTTGTGGCATGGGGGAAAAAGGGGACTCATGGTTGAAGACCCACACTCACCTTTCCTGGTTCTTCCTGGCAGCTGCAAAGGAAAGAGGGGACAGTTGACTGTGGGGTCCCCAGAGCCCTGACCCCTCTCAGGATTCCTGAACCCCACATGGGACCCTCAATTTCCCTCAGGACCCCCAAGCATCCCTGAAGCCTTCCAGAATTCATGAACCTCCTAAGTGGCCAAGACCAAATCAGCTTCAAGAACCCAAAGCCCAGCAGGGACAGAGATCCCCCAAAAGCCCACAGGGTCCCTGAAAGAACCCCCAGCATCCCTGCAGGACCCTCCAGCACCTCCCCAAACCCAAGAGCACCCCCAGCCAAAGTCACAGTTCTGGGGATGTGAGTGCCAACCTATCGCTCCCCAACTCTGGGGGCCTGTACAGCTCCCTGTCACCCACCCACACGGTGCCACCAGTGCCAGACCACAATGACATCCACAAGCAGGACCAGGAAGAAAAGGGCCCAACCGACACCTGTGCCCTGTGGGCCCCCCACCACCTACTCGTCCTGGTAGAACATGTGCAGGAGGGGGGCTCACGGTTGCAGGGGGCTGGGAGTGCTGAGGCATCTGAGATTCAGGAGTGACCCCACGGTGGGCTTGGGGGGACCCTCCAGCACCGGCACCTGGATGAGCTCAGGGCAAAAGATGGGGGACTGTGGGCACCGTGACCCCGAGTCCCTGGGGAAGGGCTGTGGGGGTGTTGGGGTGGCAGCTGTGAGGTGCTCACCGTTCACTGTCACTGTCACCAGCGCTGACTTCTCCCATCCCTGTGATACCCCGTAGTTCATCCAGACCCTGCAGTGGTAGCAGCCGGTGTGGTTTAGCTGCAGAGGGGTCAGGGACAACTGGGTCCCATTGTGGATCCGCACCAGTTCTGTCTCCTCACGGTAGAAGAACACCTCATGGACAGATATGTCCTGCCTGTACCGGCAGCGCATTGTCATCGTTTCCCCCTGGAGCAGTACCCGTGCCGGCACCTGCAGCACCAACTTGTCTGTGGGGCAGAGGGGTGCCGTCACATCACAGGGGTCTGGAGGGTCCTGATGTCACTGGGAACCCCATATTGGGTCACAGCCAGCGCACCAGGCTTCCCCAGTTTCAACACGGGGGTGCCCCCACACTGGGATACTCTGGTATGTCCCTGTGTGTAGGGGACCGGCTCTGGTCACACCAGGAGGTGATTCATGGAGTGGAGCCCACCCAGAGTCCTCAGGGTCCCTGTGGGTGCCAGGCTGGGGACACAAAACACCCTCACCTTCTGAAACTTTCACGGAAGGGCTACACCCACTGCCCGGTCTGTCACACATGTAGGTGCCACTTTCCATGACAGTGATGTTGTCGCGTCCCTCCTGACCCCAGTACTGCCCATCCTTATACCAGGTGGTGGCACCAGTGGTCCCAGAGCCCTGGCAGGTCAGTGTCACCTGGTCCCACAGCACCGCTGGTGTCCAGGGAGGATCCACCAGGAGCTGGGTGGTCTGGGCACCTGCGGGTGACAGGGGACCTGGCCTGCCAGGGCCACCATGCTGGTGTCCAGGGAGGATCCACCAGGAGCTGGGTGGTCTGGGCACCTGTGGGTGACAGGGGACACCAGCCTGCCAGGGCCACCACAGGTCTGGAGACAGCGGGATGGGGACATGGCATCCCCTGAGGACTCACCAGCGAGGCCAAGGGTCTGGGCTGGAAGAGAGAAGGGACAGGGCTGGCTGAGGGTCATGGGGACACTGTGGACACCCCATGTTTGTGCCGGCCACCTCCACCAGCCCTACAGCACCCGCCCCTATGGCCAAGTCCCCATGGCCCGGTAACAATGATCCCATTCCAATGGTACATGTCCCCATGGCCCATCCGCATGGTACATGGCCCTTATCTCTGTTCCTGCATCCCTGATCCCCTGTCCCGGTCCCCACAGCTACCCAAGCCCCAAGGTTCCTTCTGCCATATCCTTGTCCCCACATCTCTGTCACCCTTTTCCTGTCCCCACATCCCAGCTCCCCTGTTCCTGTCTCCCTCTTCCTGCCTCCAAAGCCATCCCACAACTCTGTCACACTGGGCTCCGTGCTCATGCAATGGCTCTGCAGCCATTGCAGCCAGTGGACCCCACAGCTCCCCTGTGCCCCCTCCCCACCAGTCTCTGCCTCACCAGGGCCCATCCCTGGGGGTGTCAGGCCCGTGCGCAGTACACTCACCCCACAAGAGCAGCACCACCTTCCTGGCCATCCTGGTGTCCCCAGCGATGTGGACTGGCTGTCACTCGCTGCTATGTCCACCGTTTATTTTCCTGACTTTTTGCCATATTCCCTCACCCCTGGTTCCCAGATCAGCAATTCTGGGGTGCACCTGAGCAGGGAACAGATTGGGGGACCCTAGGGAGTGGGAAAATAGAGAGAGGAGTGCAGGGAAGTGTGGGGAGGCTTTTGGGGATTGGGGTGTTGGGCTGTGTACTCTGAACACTTTCGCTTTCCTTTTCCTGGACAAGAAGGAAGAGGCTGTTTGTGCTGACAGTCAGATGGGAAAGGGGGACAGTCTCTGTCGTGGGGCGGGAGCACATCTATGGGGGTTCTGCACTCTGAGGTCCCTGTTCTGGAGTTCACCTGGAGCAAACCAGTCCAGGGTGTGACACATCCTGGCATGGGGGATCCAGTCCCAGGTGGTGGCAGTTGCAGAAATGTCCTTGTACATTCCTGGCCGGGTTCCTGTCCCAGGGTGGCACATCCTGGGGACCCCTGTCAATCCAAGGGTGGGCCCAACCATGGCCCAGCCCCACTGCACAGCAATGGCCATTGCCCAGCCCTGCTCTGGCCAGCCCCAGGTGGCAGCCACAACCTGAGGGTGCCCCTGCCCCCTTGACTTTGATTCTGGCAGTTATAGAGCTGCTGCAGAGGTGAGAATTCTGTGGGGGAAAAAGGCCTGCCTGTGGTTTGCTTAGACCTGCATAAAGCACAAAACCCAAAGTGAGCTGAAGCAGTAGCTCTATGAGGGCCTTTGATGGTTTTCAGAGCAGACCTGGCTGGAAACCCCCTCTGCAGAGGCAGCTGTGAGGGAACCAGTCCGGAAATGCAGCAATTGATCATTTTGTCCATCTCACCAAGGGACAGAGAAACCACAAAATACTGCAAATACTACAACAATCTGCTCAACCACCTGCCTGGATCCTCCTTCTTGAACAAAACTTGCAGCCTTTTGGAACGTCCCAGAAAGAATGTTTGGGCTCTGGATGTGTGCACCAGAAGAGAGGGAAAAGTGTGGAAACATTGAGCAGGGGCTGCATGCATGGGTCTGGGGAACAGGGGTGTCACAGCAGGAGCAGAGAGTGCCCAGGCAGGGGAATTCAGGGCAGACAGGGGTGGATTTACCCAGGAATCAGACCCTGAGGCACACACGGGCATTTCGACAGATTCCTGTGCACTGTTCCAATGATGGAAAGAGCTTCTCCCCTTTTGGGAGGAGAATCCATGGCAAGTCAATCTAGTTGCAGGGTGGGAATGAGAAAAATGGAGAGAGTTCCTAAACACGGCCCAAGAAAAGTCTTCCTTATGGGCTGGGTTGCTGCCTAGCAGGCAGGCAAGAATCTCATAGAGCTGTTGGACACTCAGGGCGATTCCACACTGTGTGTTATCCACCAGCAAATGCTGCTGTGGGATGCACCAATGGCTCCTAAAGGGAAGAAAAAAGTCTGATTGCTTAGTGATGTGTTTGTGGTTTTATTGTGAGCGACTTGTGGGGGAAGCAATGATTTAAATGATTCTATAAACCAGAGCATTTTATACATTGTCAGTTTGATTTTTGATGAGTTTGTTTTTTATTGGGAAAATAATGGGAAAATATTTTTGCCTTTATTCTACAGATTTATCATTTTGTCTCAGCCAACTGGGCACCAGGTATTCCCTGGCATGGCTGAGCCAGGAAAGGGGGGTGACAGGAAAAAGCCTGGGGTGTGTGGGGCAGGGACCCAGAGACTCCCAGGACAGCCCTGCAGTGTCCCAGGGTGGGGGCTGTGCTGGGTTCTGAGCCACTCCAGAATCTGAGGCCAAAATCTGACCTAAAAATTGTCTCAAGCAATTGGGCATCAGGGAATTCAACCAATTTGATCCTGGGATTTACCATCATCAGGGCAAGGTCGTAACAGGCACCCCTTATATTTGGGCACCCCAGAGGTCACAGGGCCCCACTGGGGACAGAGGGAATGCTCAGGGGCCCCCAGGACAGAGGTCCTTCTTAGGGACAGGAATCCCCAAGGACATGGCATGCCCAGAATGAGGAGGACCCTCTGGTACAAGAGCCTCTTACAAGACCCAGGTGTCACCACAGCAGAGGAGCCCTTTTCCCACAGTGCAGGACCCCTCTGGATGTGCTTTCCCAGGACAGAATCCACATCCATATTTCAGCACAAATGGCCTCTGCCTTCTGCTGCAGAAAAGAGAAAGTGTTGGGGAGTCACAGTCAGAAAGACTCATCCCCCACAGGCCCCCAACGAGTGCCTGCATTCCCCTCGTCCCTTCTTCCCTTTCCTGGGATCTCCCCAGCTGTCACCTGCTCAGGTCTTCCCTGAGATGGCTGAGCCAGGAAACTGGGAGGGACTGGAAAAAGCCCAGAGGTGTGTGGGGCAGAGACCCAGAGACTCCCAGGTCACCCCTGGGGTGCCCCAGGGTGGGGCAGTGCTGGGCTCTGAAGCAACCCAAAATCTGAGGCACCAGGGAAGGAGCTGTAACCCCCATGCCCACACAGCCACTGCCCATCCCTGGCACCCCCACTCTGCTGGGAACCCAATCATGGGACCCCCATTGCCTTGGTCTCTCCTCCATAGGGACCCCCATCCTAGGATGGCCATTGCCCAGGACCACCATTGCCTTGATCCCATCCCATGGGCTGCTTCTTCCCCCAGAATCCCTCTTCCCAAGGGTCCCCTTTTCCCCCCTGCACCCCGAGGCATGGCACCCACATGCCATGACTCCAAATCTCTGGGGACCATGTTCCCACAGGACACCCATCCCTGAATCCCCCCAGGCATGAAGCCCTGAATTCCTCTGGAACCCCATTCTCCTGGACACCCATCCTTGGTTCCCCAAATCCCCTGAGCCCCTCACTCCTGGCAACAGCATCCCCCACCATGTCCCCAGACTATCCCATCATGTCGCCAGCCTGTCCCCTACTGTGTCTCCTTCCCCCACCCTGCCTCCACCAAGGGCCACATACGCATGAGGGTTAGACGCGACCTCGCTTCCTTCTCCTTCATCCGATGAGCTGCCACTCTGGGCACAAGTGGCCACAGTGACAGCCAGTCCACATGGCTGGGGACACTAGGATGGCTGGGAAGGTGGTGCTGCTCCTGTGGACACGGGCCTGGTACCCCGGGAATGGGCCCCAGTGGGGCAGACACTGGTGCGGAGGGGGCACAGGGGGGCTGTGGGGTCCCCTCAGGTCCTCAGTGCCAGAGGAACCAGTGCATGAGCATGGAGCCCAGTGTGACAGAGTTGTGGGGTGGCTTTGGGGGCAGGAAGAGGGAGACAGGAACAGGGGAACTGGGATATGGGGACAGGAACAGGGTGACAGAGATGTGGGGACAAGGATGTGGCAGAAGGAACCTTGGGGCTTGAGTAGCTGTGGGGACAGGAACAGGGGAATAGGGATGTGGGGACAAGGATGTGGCAGAAGGAACCTTGGGGTTTGAGTAGCTGTGGGGACAGGGACAGGGGATCAGGGATGCAGGGACAGGGGCAAGGGTCACGTACCATGGGGATGAGCCATGGGGACAGGTGCCATTGGAATGGGATCATGGGCAAAGGGCCATGGGGATGAGGCTGTGGACACAGGTGCTATAGGGCTGGTGGAGGTAAGCTGTGTAAACATGGGGTGTCCACAGTGTCCCCATGTCCTGTCTCAACCCAGTGTGACCAAAGTGTCAAGACCTCTTTGCTCCACCAGTGTTCCCATGGGGACAGTTTGGGGACAGCCGCTACACCTCATCCCCCAGGTGGTGCTGTCCCTGCACTGCCACCCCCACTCAGCCCTGTCCCTCCTCCCTTTCAGCCCAGACCCTCGGCCTTGCTGGTGAGTCCTCGGGGGATGCCATGTCCCTATCTCGATGTCCCCAGCCACCCGATGTCATTGCCAAGGTTGTGTCCCCTGTCACCTGCAGGTGCCCAGACCACCCAGCTCCTCATGAAGCCCCCCTGGATGTCAGCAGTGCTGTGGGACCGGGTGACACTGACCCGCCAGGGCTCGGGGACCACTGGTGCCACTACCTGGTACAGGGGTGGGCAGCTCTGGTGGCAGCAGGTACACAACCACTTCACTGTCACCAGGAGTGGCACCTACGAGTGTGACAGTCCCAGCAGTGGGCTCAGCTCCCCCATGATCATCTTAAATGGTGCTGGAGTTTTGTGTATCCCCAGCCTGGCACCTGTGGGGACCCTGAGGGCTCTAGGTGGGCTCCACTCCATGGGTTACCTCCTGATGTGAGCAGAGCTCATCCCCAGCTCTGAGACATCCCAGAGTGGGGGGGGGGAGACCCCCGTGCTGGAATGGGGAACCCTGGTGCCCTAGGTGTGACCCAGTGGGGGGGTCCCAGTGCCATTGGGACCCTCCAGACCCCCCCTCCCCCGTGTGATGTGACGGCACCCCCCTGTCCCCCCAAGACAGGCTGGTGCTGCAGGTGCCAGCACAGGTGCTGCTGGAGGGGGACACAGTGACACTGTGCTGACAGGGCTGGCAGAATAACATGGTCACCTCAGTGTCCTTCTACCATTAGGAGAAGACACTGGGGTGGCTCTGTGATAGGACTGAGTTGTTCTTGTCCCATCTGCAGCTGCAACACTGTGGCTGCATTTCTCTTCACAGAGAAAAGCAAGGCACAATTTCCCAAGGATATTTTCTGGGAATTGCAGCGAGGAACCTCAGAGAAAGAAAAAACAATTCTTATCTCATTTGCTGCTCCTGTGTTTGTGTGCATGGAGAGTGTATTCTGGAGATTGTTTATCCCAGGTGACCAATTGCATCCACATGTGTGTGTCAGGACTGTCAGCTGATAGTCACATGTAGCAAGAAGCAGTTAGTTAGAAATTAAAAGTAAGTATGATATAGCATAGTATGTATCTCTTTAATATTTTATAGTATAATAAAGTAATTAATTCGCCTTCTGATACCATGGAGTCAGATGCACATCATTCTTCCCTTTGTTGAGGGGTTGCCTGCTTTTACAATACACCACAGCGGCCATTACCGCTGCAAGGGCCGGGTGGAATAC